TTCAGTACCCATGGGACCGCTGCGGCGGGCCTGGGAGGCGCCACGAGTCCCAACGACGCACGGGCGGCGCACTTCCCCAAGCTGGAAATAGGCCTTTAATACAAACGGATGGTCTCTTGCTGCAGTCACATCACACGTACACACCCACACCGCACCGCACCCCGCGCCCGCGCGCCCCCTCGCCCCGCCTTGCCTCCTAGGCACTGCCCCGGGGCGTCTCGAGGTGGAGAGGCCGGCAGCCTCGCCCGACGCGCCCGACGTCGACTCCTCCTCCGCCGCCGGCTCTCCCGCCACGTCGCCGGGGACGTCGACCTGCATCGAACTCGGTCTCCGGCTCTAGCTCGGCAGCGTGCTCGGGGGGGGTTGGACACATCCCCGGACGAACGGAGTTTTCTTTTTCCTTATTAGGACCTGTTAAATGTGAGGACCTCTCGTCGGTGAGGACCTCTCGAGCGAGCATCTTCGAATGCGTGGGCGGGGAGAGGAAGGGGCGTGCGACATCAAGCAACCTGCTCGGGCGCGTCGCCTGGGGCGCGTCAATCATGGGCCGCTGAGCGCCTGTAGATCTCGCGTTTCGCCCTGGCCCCTGCGTAGTCGAGTCAGACAAAAGCACGCGCTCGGATCATGGAGAAAGAGAAGGGGGTTGGTTAAAAATTAGTTGAGTTGTTTGTGTGCACGAAAACTTTGTTGCCTAGGTTTTTAACTTGTTTTCTTTTTCACACGACTCTTTCACCGGGGGGACCCGTGGGCGTCGAAGAGGCGCTCTCGGGGGGCCGTTCTGAGTTCATACTACCTCGAAGCACACTGACTGCGTCAAAGCACCGGCCCTGAGCCCGCGCGAGATATAGCTCCGCCGTTATATCCGCCTATGTATGTATGTAGGAAGGTATCCGCCTCGGTGGCAAGCCAGAAGAAAAACTCCTCCAAACACACGTCACACCTCTGGCGATGGGTGGTGCCGCCGCCGCGCTGGTGCTGGGGAGCAAGCTGGTGCTGTGGAGCGTCTACGCCGTCGGCATCTACTTCGCCTGCAAGTTTGCCTACGAGATCCGTATCTACGCGATTGTCAACTATGGGTGTGTGCCGCCTCCGCCACCGCCACAGCAGAGCCTCGCTTGAGCGTCCCGTGGGGATGCGGCCGTCAGACCCCGTGGCTCTCGCAGCCACCGTCCTCCCGCCTCACCCTCCACTACCCACCCAGCACCGCCGCCGCCGCCTCTGCCACCGCCGCGGCCGCCGCCGCCGCTGCCGCCGCCGCCGCTGCCACCTCCGTCGCCGCAAGCCTGCGCCGCCGCAGGCCCGCGCCCGCAACCGTTAGTCCGGCGGCGGCGGCGACCTCCGCCCCTCCCGCACGCAACAGGTACGTGATTCACGAGTTTGACCCGTGGTTCAACTTTCGCGCCACAAAGTGCGCCGACGCACGGCGCAACGGCAAACGGAGCCTCGCGCACGGTGCACTAGCGAGGAGTCGCCTCTGCCGTATCCTCGCAGGTACCTCGCCGAGCATGGGTGGCACGCCTTCTTCCACTGGTTCGACTACAAGGCGCGCGACCCGCCCCTCTACCCCCCCCCCCCCCTCCCCTCTCCCCTCCCCTCTCCCCTTCCCTGCCGCCGCCTCCTCTCCTGCCCTCCTCTCCCCTCCTCTCTTGCCCTCCTCTCCCCTCCTCTCT